AASAAAAAACCACTGAATAGTGATGCTTGATTGTCTTCAATCATTAACAAAATGTATCAATGAAAGCAACTGCATATTATCAGACACAATCCCAACAATAGAACATACTCTCTTTGTAACCATCTCAGAATTCTTGAAGATTCTATTGTTTCATTCCTTCAAAATACACCATACTACAGCAAGTATAATACAACTTCGGACATCTTTGCTTTCTTTCTTCTTTGGATCCTTGGCTATGATGAAAAAATGTTACTTGAATTTGAAGGTTGGAGAGAGTTCTAGAGAAAGAGAGGAAGAAGCCCCAAATAAATTTAGAATAGGTGCAAGAAATAAACAGATGTTAAGTCCTCTTCTTTGCTGAAACACAAATAACAGATGCTAGGAAACTGAAAACCCCTCTTCTTCAACTGGTCAATAGCGATAACACTGTTCATCTCTACCAGCCAAACAAAAGCCTCAACCCTAGGTGGTATAGGGTTACCCCAAATGCCTCTTACCTCAGTTCTGTTCTGTCAATCTGGTTACCAATTAAAGCATTACAAAAGGACCTCACCATAAATTGCCCATTCTTACATTCCTTCCACCAACTAGCATCAGGTTCTGAAGGGGAGACAACTTCTTTTTCTAGCTTTTTCTAGCAGAACCAATTATTCCTCTATTTCCCTCTGTCCAACATTAGTCTTCTGAATTTAGGGCGAAAAACCATTCTTTCATTCATCATTAAAAACACTTAACTCAATCTATACAACTTAGGGCAAATATCACACAATTTATGAGCACAAATCCAATCATCTTCCTAAAAATAAATACTAGATCAATTCTCAGCTTTGACTGTTGATCTGTCGGGACAACCTACTATTCTTCCTTCATTTATTTCTTCCTTTTATTTTCTGATTATGAATATGGGCCTATAGCTCTTTTCTTTGGTTCTTTTATTTCTTTAGTTGTGCAGCCACTATGCCTATAACAGAGTGAATTTGAATCAAATCAGGCCATATTCGAAATCGATTTCAATTAAAAAAAAGTGATTCGATATCCATCGGATATTCAAAAGTCCCAATCAAACTCAGATTCAATTAAAATGTCAAATATTCAATTCAATTCGAGTTTAACCGGTTTTGCAGAGAAATCCCTAAATCTAAAAAACAAACTAAGGAGGAAGACACAACCATCACCCATGAACAGCACAAAAAAAAAAAACCTCAAAATCTAGAAGATGAAAGAAAAGAGAAAAAATAATTCATCATCTAGAACTCTAGAAGAAACAATTGAGAGAGAGATAGTGGAGGGAGAGCAATTGATCATGGATGATGGCCCCAAACAAAAGAAGCTGAAGTTTGAACTTCAGAACGCCATGAAAGCCCCTTTATCTTCGACAGAATCTAGTTCTCTTTACCTTCTCTCCACACTACTCATCCCTTGAGGCATTAGAACTCTGTTCTATGAAGAAAGAAAAGTTGCAGAGGGTGAAATACAGGAGGATAAGCAGATAGTGAGAAGAAAGAGAAGAGAGGAGATGGAGAAAGGAGGGGTTTTGGTATCTCAGTAAATGAAAAAAAAAAATGAAAAGTGGCCTGGTCAACTGGTCTTAACTATCAATCAGGATAACTTTTGTTTGTTTTTTATAATAAATAGATACAATGGACACTTTGAATCATAAATAGTGTAAGACACATAATGGATAATAAATATATCAAATCAGAATATGATATAATATATTTATATATATTATAACATGTATTATTGAATTCGAATATTTTTCGAGCCGAATCAGCACAGCATCAAATTCAATTTGATTAAATAATTGGAACAAAAATTATATTCGAATTTGACCATTTATTCAATCCAAAATCGAATTCAAATTTCCAGATACCATTTACAGGCCTAGCAGCCACCCTGTAATTTAATATGATAGTAACTCATTTTCTCTTCCAGCAAGGGCAAATCATAATAGTTTTTTAAGCTTCGTAGGAAATAGGGAGAGAAGTGAAACCCTGCATGATGATTCCCCAAATCATTTCTTCTTGACTAAATTTTTTTTATTGCAAATCCAAAAAAAAAAAAAACTTCTATGGACCTGATTTCTCATGAACAGCCTAGATATCATCTTGAGCCTCAGCGTCATACCATATGTCTTAAGCTTGACAAAATGAGTCAATTTTTGTGCACCTCATAGATACAAAAGGTTGTTTTATCATGATCTATCTTATTTATTATATATCTAACTCCATTTTCCCCTTTAAGATAGACAAAAAAAAAATAGGAACATAGTAGGGAAAAGCACAGTGAAAATCAAGTAGCTCAACGGATCCAACCTCGGATGAGAGTTATGAAGCAAGAGTCTACTATAAGTATGAACAAAATTCCACATCTAACTGCATGGCCCTCTTAAGTTTCTATAATTATTAGATTTGATAGGGAGGCATCGGACAAATAACAAAGAAACGAGCAAAAATCTTATGAAATTACCTGATGATATCCTGGCGTTAAATTGCAAATAGCCTGAAATACAGTAGGGCAACCCTCAACGGGGGACATAGGCAAATGTTCTGACCATCTGAAAGGGATAGTTACCAATTATAGTTCTTATAACAAATATATGTGAGAATAAGAAGCACTTGATGACAATTCAAATAAAGAATTACTAGCTGGATAGCCAAGCTCAAACCACATTTAAAAAAGGAACAAGAGGTAGTTCCATTTAATATTAGAACATACTATTCAAATCTCACCTCGTGAAAGAACCGCTGAGGAACACTCTTCTTCCCCCGTAAGGCCACACAAACCTCATAGGAACCAACACCGTACCTGCAACTCCACTAGTCTCCGGCATAGAATCCGTACCCGAAGAATACATTTCTTCAATCATACGAATAAATGGATGAAAGTAAATCCTTGGAGAGAAAAATGAACAGTTCCCTGTTTTTTATTGTTCTCTATAAAATGCACAAAGACCCAACTCACACAACCATCACAGATAAAAGCAACTCCTCGCCTGACAGAACCGCAGAAACATAAACGCCTCTCGTATCAACTGTACAGGCAAACCTCTCCAAACTCCAAGGTTGGTACGTTAAAAAACTGTGATTCTAACTCCGTCCAACAGGGATCCTCCACAACACAGCAGAGGACCCCTCAGTAATTACACATTGCCAGCCAGCAAATCGAACCCGCCTCCCCACAGAGCTTCTAACGCAACCTACAGTCAAAAGTCAAAGCCACAAACTTCAACGCTGAAACGCCAAACAATCAATAGCAGTTTGCGCCAAATCCGAAGCAAAGCTCCACAATTCTTCTCGCACAAACACCGGCAGGCCCTATATCCGGTAACCCTAATTCCCCGCTTTCTCCAGCGAATTCAGACCACAGCCAACCAAATCAAATACACAACGGAAAACGCCGAACTGTGTAAGCTCTGCAGTCACCCAATCCACGAAACAAAAACCGCTTCAAATCAGCCGAAAGGAACCACTCTGATCTGCACCGTACCCACGCCTAGACAACCAAATCTCAAGCCCTAAATAACCAGAATTCCAACCCTCCTACCAAGAAAACAAATAAAAATAAATACGAAAAAAAAAAGTCCCCCTTTCCAAGAAACACCCAACAAGAATAACGAAGAACCCTAACCCTAGGAAAAGTTAAACCATAGGAAGACAAGAGAGAAATCTCACAGGATATTCGACATTGTTGGATCTCGAAGCTTTGCTGCTTCTTAGTGAAAATCAACACATAATATAATTAATAAAAATAACAAGAAATTATAGATGACAAACCAAAGACGTGGAAATGAGACGAGAATAATATACTGGCAGTAAAAGTGCGGAAAATATTAATAATAAAAATATAATTAATATCGATATACTTTCTATTTTCGTTATTATTATATTATTAAAATGCCCAACGGAGAAGGAGAATATGTACAATGGTTGGAGAATCAGAACGGGCAGCGAACTAGGAAGAGAGAGGCCCAATGGCCCATGAGATCACTGACCGCGATTCCCGGGCAGCTCCGCTACCACCGGAAAGGAAAGGAAAAAAAAAAGAAAAGGTTCACCATACCGTCCTCGTCGAGAATACAACTGGGTCTGTACTTGCAAATCTGAAACCGTTAGATTGGAACTTCTATCCTTTGGCGATAAGGACGTCGTTAATAGAAGGTTCTAATTGAACGGTTAAAACGTTGCATGGAAACCGTCACCAACCCAAAATCATTATAACGCGATAAAGATTGATGCTTTACAGAGCTCCTACCGGAGGAATATATGTGTGCCCTACGCCGAGGGATCTCAGACGTCAATCTTGATGCTCCGTAGTGATCTACCCGTCTGATCGAAGTAGGGCCCGTGATAAGAAAGACATGTCGATGTAGGTCCCACCATGTCTGTAGGAAGAAGTTTCATCATGGTAAAAAAAGATCAAGTACCAGTGTACCATCATTGTATGATTGAAGGAGATCTTTGTTACCAAGGTGGGCCCATGCAATAATCAGCAGGTGAACCATGAAAGGAGGATCTAAAATGAATTTGGGTGAAAAAATTGATATGATTTTATTCTACTGCTCCATTTTGTGGTTCTTTCTTATCACTCTTCCATTTGACTCAGGTCTGGTTGTTAGAAGACAGGAAGAGAATGAATTGAGCTTGATGGCAGATTCTTGGGTCACGATTGGACGGTATGGATTAGCTCAACCAACTTAGATTCCATTAATAATGTTTTTGTAAGTAGGGTTCGATTATGATATGGAAAAAGATATGATATCTAAAAAAAGTCTTATATTCTGATCAATCAATTGGAATCATAAACATGATAGCCAAAACTTTTTGTATATCATGCATTTTTCGTATTATAGATTTTCCCCTGAAAGTAATTGAGGGAATAGAGTACTATATAGACGGAAGTTGCCCATGTAGATCCATCCCTTAATTATGCACCAAGGGATAAGCATTAGTATGGTTTTGTTAAGGTTGTGTTTGGTTTTATGAGGAAATAGAGTTGAGGGAAAGTTGTCCAGCTTAGGGTTTCGCACCAAAAGCCAATAAGTTGTGTTTGGTGAAAACCCATGAATACTGAAAAGCACTATCATTGGGCTAAGAAATTGACTTTTTTATGAAGCTGGTTTGGGTAGCTTCTCTAAAGCCGCTTTGGTAAGGAAACATGGAAGACCGTAGGAACAAAAAACATTTGATTAAACAAATACATCCAAGCAAACACTCCATTGATTGTTGCTTTGTTGGCATATTGATGCTTGGATTTGAAGTGATGATTATATGCAATAAAGTTCACATTTGCTACATCTATTGTAAATAATGTCATGATTTTTTCTTGTTATTTATCTTAAATTCAAAACATCAAATGATATATTTTATAATTCGGTCGCTATTGTGTGTATGTATTATTGCACTTGGGATTTGTTGTTAATCAAACTATGTATAAATGGCTACATGGCCAATCATGAGTGAACACACCAATGTTCCATATTGGAAGTGGTAGATCTGGACTCATTTTATTGTGCATTCATGACAAAAATACGGCAATTATGATCACGGTTGTCCTATGTAATCAGGTTTAAAACAAATTGAATTCTCATATGCATGCACTCATTTGAAGGACGGACTTATAATTTCACTATGCATGGTACACTATCATGGATAACCAATTTCCTTTGTTTTTATATGATGTCACTGGAGGTGGCTATGTTCAATGTCACGAGTGAATGATAAGTATAGTGAACTTTTTTCGCATATAATACTAGCAAGCAAGCCCATGCAATTTAGTTAGGTTTGAGTTGGTAAATTTGGGTTTTGATATCAATTTGGCCACATGATAGGTTTCGTGGTAAGGTTGGGTTGGCTCTTAACTTGGCTCAAATCCATCTAACTTATGCCTCTGCTTTATTAAGAGAGTCAACATTGGAGATTTAAGAGGAAAGTGGGGATTTAACAGCGGAGGAGAGATGTTACAAATATTAACTATTGGTGGGAGGGTGTTAATAATGATTTTATTATAGAATAATTGCAAAATTTATTAGAAAAACCGATAGGGTTTTTTGTATTTTATCACATTTTTTTGTAATTTAATTAAAAATTGAAAACCAAATGCAGGAAAAATTAGAGTAGAAGGAACCTAAGCCCTGTGGCTAGAGGACCCCTCACCTAGTCTCCTCCTCTTTGTAATGTAGATGTAGATTCACTAACTTTGTAAAATTGTTGATAAATAAGTGTATAATTTAGAAGAATATCAATAAGTTTTTTATAAGTATGCATATATATATGTAAGTATATGAGGCTATTTTTTTAACACAATCGTTTAAATTGAACATATATTAGTAGAAATGTGCATCAAATTGATCTATCATCATATTTAAGGTTTAAACTATCGATACGTTGCAATACACAAAAATTGTGTATCATGCAATTTAAAGGGGTGATATGCTTAAATTTAATTTTTTTATGTTTTAATAATCGAACCAAGAAATCTATAGGACAGTCTTGGTCAAGTAGGCACACATGGTGAGCACATTGAATCAATACTTAGGAAATTTTTGTGCACTTTACCCTTAAAATACCCCCAACCTACCCTTGAAAAACATTAAAAACAACTTTTGACACAGTTGTCAGAATATTTATTAAGTGCTCATTGAATGTGCTTACAATGTTGTGCCTACTAGATCTAGACTCTCTATAAGAAGGGTATTAACCTTTAAAAGTGACTACATATCCCAACTCATTTTATTTAGCATATACGTGAGTTAAAAAATCAATGCACATGATATGATAACAATATTCTTTCACACCTTGATCACATTGCATTTTGTGAATATATTCCTTATTCTTAAAGCCAAACAACAATACTTGACTTATTTCACACCTTAAGCTTTGTTTGTTTGCAATATCATGAATTTCATTACATCAATGTAAATGCAATGGAGTGCAAATCTTGGTTGCCTTTCGCTTCAAATTTGACTATGTCCTATTTGTTCATGAGAAGCAAAATGATACAATCACCACTTCATGTGAAAAAGGGAAATGAGGTATGATGAAGGTTGTTTGGTTGAGAAGAATAAAGTACAACGCATTGAAGCAAAATGATGTGATCCCCACTATATACAAGGTAAAATAGAGATAGGAGAGAGGTGGTGTAAATTTTGTAGCAATGTTTTAGATGCAAAAATTTACACTATCAATGAGTGCCAATAAGACAAAAAAGTCCAAAACTTAGACTTACAGCAAACAAAAGTGCAAATTATGGATGTAGAAATGAACTAGGTGAAAAATTTTATACTTGGTTCATATCTACACCACAATTAACAGATATCAAATCACTAACAAATGGGATTGGGATAGATTAAAATATACAGAAAATGAACATAAAAAGGGGGATGTTAGTAGACAGACAATAAAAATGAATAACGACAACGGGCTGCCATTGGCCCACTTGGCATATTAAACAAGAGATCACATTGGCGCCCCACATGCACATCGCAGTGTGCATTGGGAACACCTTCCTTACTTATCATGGTGAGATGTTTCCAATACATGGGTGGGAGGTGTTGTGGGGCGCCTAGGTTTGTCAACATATTAGTTGGACTGAGGCCATTACTTGGCTTTCTTTCCCACAATAATACTCATATTTTTCTTGTTGCTAATTTAAAAAAAAAATCAAAACCATCTAGTTTAAAAACATATTGTTTTCAAAACAAAACACACACACACGCATGTTATTGACTGTGTACATGTTTTTGCTTTTCTTTTTCAAAAATGAAACCAAAAACATTGTTCTTGTATTTTTAGTTTCAAAGACATGCTTTAACCTAGTTATTTAATATCATGTCCTATGAATCATATAATTTATATACTACAAATTTTATTCCTGCTTTAAAAACCATTATATTAATGGTTCAAAAACATGTAGTGTTTATTGCAAAACTATTTGAGAACAAAAATAAAGCACAATAACATATTTTGTTTTTTGTTTTTTTTTGCTAATGTGAGTGTTACAAAACAAGTGAAAATGAAAAACATCCATGTTGTAGAACCCTCCATATAACAAATTAAACTCTCAATTTTAATCTATAATCCAAATGCACTCATCCATTGTCCAACCTCACTATCAAATCAAGCTAGCCACATCAGATCATGCTTATAAATGGAATTTACAAACATAGACCAAAAGATATGCTAATACAAGTATTTATCAAGGAATTTTGTTTTTTTGGGGGGAGGGGGATCTATGATAACGGAAAGACATGGTACCGGAAGAGCTTTGACCAATCAAAGCATCATGTGAATTTTGATGAATACCACCTGATTGTTGGTTACCCTATTTACGATACCAATTGATTGGTTATAAGTTTATTTGATATCATATATTTCCAACATGATAGTCGAATCCTTTTTTTTACATCGTATCTCATTTGAGGCATAAGTGCATGGTCCCGCTTGTCTACTAATGTGGTTCAAAATTAAATGTGTTTTTTTTTCATTTTGGTAAAAATAAAATTAAATGGGTTGGGGCATGAAGAATGCTACTAAATGAATTAGTGTTCTCATTTGGACCATAAATGCATGACCCCGTTTATTTGTACAAAGTTAAATGAATGGAGACATAAAGAATCATAGTAATTGAGTTCATGCAACTATTTGAATTGATGCTATAAATATGGTGGGACCATGAAGAAAAAAAAAACACAGGACAAAGTTGTTGATTTGTCTCGATTTTTATGCACAATGCATCAATAACAAGACATTGTAAAATTTGAAATTACAAAAAAAAACACTTTGAAATAAGGAATCTAAACAAGTTT